ACAAACAAAGAAAACCAATCATGTTCTTGTAGTCTGTTTTCCTGACCCAACTTAAGATGAAACGGAGCAATTTACAGACTTTGGGTAATTGTAAGGTCAGAGAATCATATTAGCACCCCTTTACAGGTGTGTGATCAATTGCAAAGAAAATGAGGAATCACTAATTATGAAAAATTAGGGGCAGTTTTTGAAAAAAAAGCCAGTTTTCTCCAACGCTGGTCGGCCAACCAGCATTGGAAATTTCCCATTTTTCTTGAAAATGACAGCACACCAGGAGCCACGATTTTACAGGATGCTTTGGACTGTCACTCCCTATTAAGAATTCAGTTAGGTATTTCATGATAATTTGATCATTTGGTTATGTCATGTTTGCAAATGTTGTATCTTCCCTTTAAAGGCACATGGGGACATTTGCAATCACTCAATTTTAAAACGAGAAAATCCTTGCTCGCGCAGTGAAGGACCATGTAGGACTGGTACCTGTACCAAGTACCCTGTGAAATTATTCCGCCTGAGATGATATCAATCGGAAGAAAACAATCATTGAAGGTGGTTTCAGAAAATGTGCCTGCAGGCACGTTTTTTTACCTGTGTTAGCAACGGAATCTAACTTTACGAGACCCCAAAAACTGTGAATACGTTTTCTCAGTTTTTTAGAAACGTATAGTATTCACTGAGCTGAAGCTTCAGCAAGTAAGTTGTTACATGTGTGCATCCTTCTTTAGATTTTTAGCAATTTTGTTGTTTCAAACAAAAAACAAATGCACAAAAAGCAAATGTCCCCATGTACCTTTAAAACACCGTCGATATATCAAATTACTTGATTATTCGATATCATTATTTTGATATCGATATCGTCTAGATAGCAATTTTTCAATCATATCAAAATATTGAAATTTTCGATATTGAGGAATGATATCAAAAATATTGAAAATGTGTCAGATTATCGTCAAAATATATCCCCGTTTGTGCTCTTACTTTGTGTTTAACGTTTGCTGTATAATGAAATAAAAGTCGGCGGCAACTTGTGCTTGTGACTCAAAATAAAAACATTGCGAAATGCCAAGCGGCGTCCCCCAATGTAAAACCTCAAAAGAAACCGGCTGTTCTGGATAAACTCTCAGTGCTGAGATGTTTGTTTTTAAAAAGTTTGAGTAATATGCTCCAGAGAAAGCCGTGGAGAATTGGGACTTCACATTTTTTTAAAATTCTTTTTATTTAATCAAAGTGTCATCTTTATGGTCTTTAATACATGGGATAATCGATCAATCGAATATTCTCGATATTGGATTTCCGATATATCGATTATTGAAAATGCTGATATCAACGGTGCTTACGAGGTAATAATACTGTTAGTGTGGAACGCAGTCTGTTCCTATGAATATTTTCCAGGTTTTGTTTACACTTTGCCAATCACAAATCTATGAAACAAAAAGTTATTTTGCTGTAGTTTGAACCTACATGTGTATATTAATACTGCTGCTGGATAAGACTGTAATGTAAAACCTTCCCTCCCAATTCCAAAAAAAAGGGGGAGGGACGCAGTAAAGATTAAAGGTACAGTCCATCATTTGTAATTTGTGCATTTTGTTGGTTTGAAGCAACAAAAGTGCTCAAAATCTAAAGAAGGGTGCTGAACAACTAACTTGATGAAGTTTCAGCTCAGCTTCAGCTGTATATTTCGCGAAAAACAACATTCTAGGATCTCGATTTCAAATCAAAAGTTGCTGAATAATGTTTTGAATTGGGCCTGAATTCAGCGTCCGAGACACGTTCTCACTGAGCCGATTGCAGCTACGCGATGTCGCGCACACTGATCCGACGAATTATAGCAACCGCGCGCGCGCGTGCTTCGTGTCAACGCCTGCGCGCTTCGCCGGATAAAAAAAACAAACTACTAACGGAAATTTCCAACGATGCGTCTTTAGACGTCATTTTTCAGTCATACGTCTTTAGACGCATCGTTGGAAAGGCCTTCTTTTGTTGAATTCTTCAAAATGACAGCATGCCAGTAAGAATAATTTCAAAGGGAGTTTAGTCCCCTTACTATCTTTCAACCAAGTATGTTTTTCAACAATAATTACGTCTGTTACTTTTTGGATAGCTGCAAATGATGGACTGTAGCTTTAATTTGATTTTGCATAATGAGCAGAACAAAATGCCGGGGAGTCATATTTGCCTTGCCCAGAATTTTGAACAAATTTTTTAGTCATACAGATGATACAGTACATATCATATTATGTATTGCACAGTGCATTCTTCGTCAGTGTACTCTGTTGGTGTTTAAAATATCACTGAGACTGCTCATGTTTTCAAGTGAAGATTCATGTTTATACAGTACATGTATGTATTTATTTTCAGTATGGGTTATTAAACAGGAAATTGTTTCAGTTAAACAGTGCCAAGGTACCAATTCAAATGCTTTTAAATATTTACCCATTGACACTCTGAAAATGTTTCATGTACAGACTCTGTATCAAGTTAATACATAAACAGTCCCAGCCAGTCAGTGTATGTAGGCTACAGGCTCTTACATGGAACTGCTGAAAACAGTCACCTCTTGATTGATTTTGACTGAAATGACAAATTGGCACAGAGTGTATGTTTGTATTTAACAGTTGTTGTTTCCAAAACTGCGGTGTGGATTTTGATGGATTCAGGTATAGTAGGGTTAAAATATGTAATGGTTATATTTTCAGAGTAATGTTTTAAAAGGGAATGCCTTTGATGCAATTTTCAGGGATAAATGGATTTGGAGGATAGGTATAAAAAGCAGATATTGTTAAAGGGAATATACAACATTTGCAAACATCGAAAAATAAAACTACCAAGTTTTTGCGAAATACCTTAATAGGATGTTGGTAAATGACAGTCTAAAGCATCCTGTGAAATTATGGCACCTGGTATACTGTCATTTTCAAGAAAAGTGGTATTTTTGTATCAATTTCCAACGCTGATCGGCCGATCAGCGTTGGAAACAACTGGCTTTTTTTTCAAATACTGGCCCCAATTGACCATTGCACTTGTTTGCAATCGATTACAAACCTATGAACGGGTACGAGCCAGCTAGACTGGTTCCCTGACCTTACAATTCCCCAATGTATGTAAACTGCTCTGTTTCTTCTTATATGGAGTCAGGGAACCAGACTACAGGAAAATGATCGTTTTTCTTGGTTTTTATAGCATTTTCGAACCCAAAACCTCCAAAAAGTCAGTGTAACTATATTTGCTTTATATTTCCAACCCCCCAATTCCATCCATTTCTGAAAATTACAGCAAAAGCAAATGATGTATATTCCCTTTAAACTGACTTGTGTTGGGCTCGTAGATGCTGGAAAAACCAAGAAAACCAATCATGTTCTTGTAGTCTGGTTCCCTGACCCCACTTAAGATGATTTCTGAGCAATTTATAGATGTTGGGGAATTGTAAGGTCAGAGAAGCAGTCTAGCTGGCTTGTACCCGTTCATAGGTGTGTGTAATCGATTGCAAAGAAAATGCGGAATAATTAACTTTGAAAAATAAGGAACAGTTTTTCTTTTAATAAGTCAGTTGTCTCCAACGCTGGTTGGCTGACCAGCATTGGAAAAATACCACTTTTCTTGAAAATGTCAGCACACCTGTAGCCATGATTATACAGAATGCTTTAGACTGTCATTCCCTAACACTAACAGTCCAATAAGGTACCGGTATTTCGTGATAAATTGATCATTTTGTGTTTTGATGTTTGATTTTGTTGTATCTTCCCTTTACATTTTAATCTGTATTTTAAAAATATTTTTAACAATTGTTCGGAACTTATAATGCGCATGCCATAAGGCATTAGAATATTTTGATGGTACCGGTACCGGTATCTAGGCAAAATAAATATTTTTATTATTATTATTTTTAATACATATGCATGTATCTTTCAACTACATGTACAATGTACATTTAAATTACATACCATGTAACTTTTACTTTTAATTTACATTTTTTTTAGTCATTAATGATAATTGATATCTTTCTGATTTAATCAAATCCAGTAAATGGATGTACAGTAAATGTGTACCAAGATGGTGTGTACTAACTCAAACATGTACATGTACATGTACTTTACTTTTTTTTTATGTGCGCAACAGATTCTAAAACTATTAGTAGGAACTAGGATATACATATGGTTGGCTAATCATGAGAATATGCATACATTGTACATCATGTCTATGATTATGCTTAACGTCACAGCCCTGGGGGAATAACCCAACCAGAAATATGCACATTAGCATACCGAGGTCGTAGGTCACGATCTTTGCTCAGTCAGGCTGCCCAGCCAGAGCCTATGTGCATGTATTACAGGAAGAGTATGCATAGCGCCTCCCACTGTACAGCATATCTGCATGGTAAACAAGATAATGATATGCAGAGTGCATGTACTGGCCTAGGCTGGCTGACTGGTGTACTGCATAGGCTATACACACACTGTATGTGTACATGTACATGTACATGTACACTGTACATTGATCAGCATTTAGCTGTCTGCGCTACACGAGCAGACATTACATGCAGTTCCCTGGCAGAAAACAAAATCCGTCAAGCATCTGTGTAAAGTGAAGGTAAGTGTCTGTGATCTCTTGAGTGTAGCCAATTGATTATACATGGATTACACGTCTTTGTGGTCAGTTTTTATTATAGCCGGGTTTTAGAAATTGGGTTTTAGAAGTCTATGCTGAGGCAGTGGGCTGGTGCAGTAAGTGTGCACACAGACTGACCGCCATTGAAACCATACACAAATCTGACATGAGCCGGCCCTGGCTCAGTACACACAATACACTGACGCTGTGTGCGTTCTGATTGGTTGAGCACACAGCACTAGGGGCTCTTCATTCTATTTAGCCTATAGTTCTGTGTGTGTGTGTGTGTACGCCGCCGTTGATGTCTGTGGTGAAGTGCAGGCATACTGTACTTACTGTGCTATGCATACATGTATTTTCATTGCAAATGTACATTGTACATGTACACAAGGTTGCTAGACGAGTATGTACATTTGTACATGTTAAGAGAGGGCACTATCTGGAATCAGCCCTCTGCCAAACAGTTCTAATTGCAACTCTACATGTTTGATGAATATCTAGACTGGCCGCTTTGACGCAAACGACTTTTAAAGGTGAGTGAATACACAAGACTTGTTGTTAAGTGTCCACCTGTATTGTACTTAAAATGTATACAATTGTATACATGTACTGTGTGCCCGGCCCTTTGCTGCAATACATGTTGTATGGTATGTACAGGATGTACATTGTTACTGTTAGTCTTACCATGGTCTTACATGTGTACATGTACAGAATACATCTTTGGGATTTGAAGAGCACTATAGCTCCATGGTGAAACCAAACCATACTGTACTGGTCCTAGATTCCAGATTTGAATCAAACTCAAAACGATTTTTGGAACCTGTTGCCAAAGCTTTTTAGTCAGATGAATTTGATGTGTCTGGTAGGTTTTATGTTGTTAATGAAATCTGTATTGATTTTGTGCTTTCTTTCAGATTATAATGTAACTCAATTACATGCAAACTACTACAAGAGACATACATGTACCGGTACATGTACGTGTACATGTTCATGTACATGTACATGGAATTAGACATCTAGTTACATTTGGGTTACATAACCCCCAAAGTATTCATGTGGGGTAAAGTACGCTACAAAGTACTACACAAATAATATAGGGAAAGATTTCCATATAAGAAGTTCACTCAACACCCTGTGTACAAACCCTATGAGAGTGGACTGAAAAATTTTAAGTGTTTTCTAAGAAAATGCTTGTATTTTCTCACTGCTCAAATTGACTTTGATGACATGAAATTGCTATCTGGGGGCTTGTTAGTCAATACAGAGGAAAATTAGTGAACTTCTTATATGAAAATCTTTCCTAGGTGAGGTTAGGGTTAGTAAAGACATACCGGTACTGGTATCTAGAATCATTTGCACTTAAAAAAAAAATCAAAACAAGTCAAAAATGATAAATTTCCAACGATTTTGTTCAACAGTTATACTTGTTGTTTTTCGAAACACCCCTCTACATGTAGCTATGTTATGGTATGTCCTTCTCCCGAGTAGTCGTAAACAACTCCTTACATGTGTATGGAGATGTGGCGCAGAACGCAGCAGTGCCGGTGTAGTGTGACTTTAGGACTCTTGGTAGTATTGCGCATGCCAAAGTGAGGATTGTGAACGTTCAACCAATAAAAAGGGTAAAAGGGACCAGATTTCATAGGCGTCCAAATTTCATGTGACACCGGAAAAGTGTTTAAAACCAGACAGCCGGTGTTTTATCAACTGGTTAAGACTGGTCACGTGACAGGCTCTCGACCAATAGGAGTGGGTAAACTGTCTTAGGTATTTATGACTGTTATGGACAGCAAATGGGGGTGCACTTACCGGTACATTATTTCCAGTATAATGTAGACCTACATGTACATGTACCGTACATGTATCATGTGTATGTACATATGCACTAACCCTTGTTACCGGTATTTAGAAACTATGTATTTCTACTGTAGGTTATGAAAGTAGTCATCAACATATGTAAATCTTCACGTTTTGGGTATATACGCATTAAAAAAATTACCTTTTAGCTAATCCTAACAGTCCTGAATCCTCCAATTTTAATATGATTTTGCACACCCCCTAGGAAGTTCGGGTTTGCCTTTTTTTGTGGTGGTGTTCCAATGTAAATGTTGTGTTTCAATGTGTTGCATAATGCAAAAAAAATCCCCATTTGTCTTTTGTTTGTTTTCAAAGTCTGCACATCCTTGAAACGTGAACAGACATGCACATGTACATAATATGTAATTACCTGCTCCCAGCAACAGACCCAATTTTGAGTTTAGAATGCAAAATGCATTGGTGGACTCAATATGCATGTTGACAACAGTAGTTATATGCACCACTGGTCATGGTCGTGCAATCTTACAATACTTCATTATGTGGTACAGTGTTGACCCAGCTCTGCTATATTTAGCTCAGTTCAATATTTAGTCTTTTTTTATTTGAATGGGCTTTGCAATTTTGCCATTGTGTTTGTGGGAGTCGAGTGCCAGACTCGAACCTGGCCAGGATGTGTATACATGTAGCTACGAGGGACTTAAATTGACAGAGAAATTCAAAATCCCCTGAAGAAATTTAAAATCCTCTGAAGAAATTTAAAATCCCCTGAAGAACATATCCTGTTGTTGCATAAAAAATAAAAATCCGTTGAAACAAACAGCCGGACCTATTTTAAAATATCTTTTCTCGTTTTTTTTCTTCCAAGCTTGTCAAAAGTGTTCAGAAACATTTAGAAATAAATTCAAAATGTGTGATTGATTTTGAGTATCGGTTGGAATGACCAAAGTGTTTTGTTTTTGTTTCAGAAAGGGAAGCAATTTCACTTTTATCCTTTTATGATTTAAGTTGTGTCAAAAGTGAAAGGGAAATTTGTCTTTGACAATTCTTTGGTTCAGGATTTCAAGGTGTGTATCGAGATAAAATGTGTGTATACATGTAGTTACATGGCTTAGTTGGTTTTGGCCAGTTCGTCCGAGTAACATGTGAAGCCCAGCACAGCAGTCTACAGGCACCAAACCGTGTGATGCGCTCCAAGTAACACACAGTAATCACCAAGCCAGCGCCTCAATTAGTGTATGTAATGACCTTGTCAAGGGCAGAGTACAAGTCGTAAAAACGACTTGAATGGCTCTGTTTTTATATGAGAATATCTTGCCACTGGCGGCCCTTCAAATACTGAAGTTGATAATTTGTGCACTGTTACATGTACATCGTTCGCCATTTTGTTTCACCTAAAAAAGTTGGGGGATACTGTGTAAGTATTGTTGATTGTTGAACCATAACAGTCTGGAGTCAATCATTCAGACATTTTGATTTCATGCAAACTATACATGTATGAAAAACGAAATTACAATTGTCCTGTGTGTTTTGTTTTGTTTTGTTTTTTGAACATCTTACTTTCATGTTTGTCTTCAGAGCAGTCTACCTTATCTCAGCATACATTAATTAGCGAACGTATGTAAATTATTTCTTTCTCTCATGGCCGTAATTTTCCCCAATTGCATTCAAAGTCTCCACACACATCCATAATGAGGGCCGAGGATCTGCCCAAAAAAAGGGAACAGAAGTATGAATATCTGGTGCCCTGACTTCAGCCACCTGTGCTACCTGCGGTAGGTAGTCATTTGGGGCACCAGTTTCAATCAGACACAGAAAATTGCAAGTTTTGAGATTATTAATTAAAGTTGCTGTTGGGACATGAGCTTGTTCCCAGGATAAAAAAAAATGTGTTGGCTCCCTGCGCCAACAAGAGAGCTAAATGAAGGGTGCTTTTTTGCCGCCTTTGAGAGCCCCGTGGACAGGACACGCAGAGTTAGCGTACTGGTTCACCCGTGTATCGCGCGAAGTGCGCACGACATTTTATTCTGAATATGTACAAAGACATAGTGTCTTCGGGTGAACGTGAGACGTCGTCAGCAATGCGTTCGAATGTCTCTTTTAGTGGTCGCCCCCAACTCTCCCTTTCTTACCGTTGAGGGGGTGCTTGTGCACGGAGCCCATAGTTTAACCCCAACCTTCCCAAATCCTCCAAAATCCTCTTCGAAAAATTGAGGATTTTGCAGGATTAAGGCTATGGGATTCAACTCTCCCTTTCTTACCATTGAGGGGTGCTTTTGCACGGAGCCCATACTTTAACCCTAACCTTCCCAAATCCTCCAAAATCCTCTTTGCAAAATGGAGGATTTTGCAGGATTGAGGCTATGGCAAAAGTGTGTGGCTAATTTTGGAGTACGCACTGTGTCAAGGTCTTAGACAGCACCTTGTGTTGTTTATGCTCAGCTGGTGCTGCGCATAAATTTAGGCCACATTATACTTGAAATCCTCCGCAACATATTGACAGTGACTGCCAGAGGATTTTGCAGGATTGAGGCAGTGGTCACCCCTCCAAGGACCACATTCGATTTCTAAATAACGGATGATTTTGGAGGATTGAGGCTGTATGCAATTTTTACATGGAGGCAGTTGGAGGATGTAGCAGGATTGAGGTTGCATCCTAGCAAAAAAATGCCTAGGGAGTTAGGGTTAAAGGAAAAATATATGTAGTTGGAAAACATAAACTAAATAGCAGAATGTATATAGATTCAGTTTAACTGGTTTCACAGAAAATACATAACAGGTGTATGTAGAACTTTGGAGAAGATTAAATTATGCAGAATTTGCTTGGATTCAGCATAAATGGTTTCACAGAAACAACGACTGTGTTGAAGTAAAAAGTTTCCCTTTAAAGAAAACATTCTTGCTGTGTGCACATTTGTTTGTGCCTGTCCATGTACACAATGTATGTACAGTGTAAGATGAAGCAGAAAAAAGCGTGGGCAACCAATTTCAGAATTTAAGCCGCTGCCGCCGGCACCGATAGATCCTTTGGACGGGGAAAAAGGCAACATTGCGCAGAGAGGACTTTTTAATCTAGGAATTAAAGATGGGGCTATAGACGGATTAAGCCAACTGGGTCATTCCTCTTGGGATTTCAGTCGCGCTAGCCTTTTTTTTGTTTCGGTGTGTATACTTGCCTCCATTACTTTTTAATGCTGGAAAAAAGAAAGGCTTGAGAATTAAAAAAAAAAAAAAAACTAGCACAGGACTTGCACAAATATTATTTTGGAGTCGGCTGCTCGATCAAGTTTCCTGAGGGAGTATTTTAATGCTATATTCCAGGGTCTTTTTACATATCTTTCTGGACCAAAAGGCAGGCCTGCGTAATTTTAGTGTCTGGAGTTGGAATAGTATTGTCTGTAGTAGGAAAAGCAGCGATTGCCTATAGACTGTTTCACGATACCGCCATCTTTGTGGTCACATGATGATCTGAGGCCAGGCATTGCAATAGATCTTATTCACGATAAAGCCAATTTAAATCATGTTCCCTGAATCTTTTCTGTAAATCGTAAACAGTTGAATGGGATGGTGCCAGACTATTTTATGATTGGAGTGCGTTCCAAGCCTCACTTTTTTTTTTATACATGTACATGTATGTGGCTAAAAACATTAGGGTATGTTTTGTTCACAAATTCAAACTTATTCATTCAGAGCAGACATGTGACTACAAAGATGGGAT